CACGGCACCAACTCATTTATTCATGTAAGGGTTATTAAGTTTACGGTCATTGGCTGCTTTGAGCTAGCTCAATATTGAGGTCACTGCGCGCGCCTGGTGCGTAGAAATGATACCAGATGCAATTCAATTGCACTAATGAGTATGTTTAATGGGCTTAGCGATGCAAATCAAAGCGTCTGGGAGCACTATGAGTGCAATCAATCAGGAGTAGGTGCAGTTCCCGGTCCAGTGCGTATCGTTGTCAGTTTTCGAGGACTCAAAGTGTCACTTAGATGCGTGCGTGAATAGGGACCGTGTTCAGGTTACGCTACCAGGTCTGAGTAAATTCATTAGAGATGACTTCCAATAAAAGGACCCATTGCACAATATGGGAAGACATCCATGGTTAGCTCCTAATCCTAACCTTACATGAAAGGACCAAGCAAATGACAACTGTATGTCTTATATGTGGCTCAAAGCACGTGCGTCAAAGGGTTACACTCGGTTCTTGCGATAAAGTTTTTAATTGGTGCAACACTCAGAAATACGGAGAGATAGACAGCTTGGTAGCATTGCAGCGGTACCTATGAAACTGCAAATAAATACAAGGAGACTAAGGTTGCTAAGGAACCGTTAGAAGATGCCTTTAAGGCCACAAACATAACCTGCCACACACAAACCACATCGTTGCCTCTGCAGAAGTCTTACAACACGTAACCAAGGATCAACCTTGGTGGCTACCCCAGCATATATATAGCTAGACTGTGTATAGGACACTGGTAGGTACCGGGCTAACAGTCCCTTAGCCGTTGTGGCAGACGTTACACGCGGCTCGCTGGCGTAAGGTGAATGCTTTCCCTAGTAGTTCCTATATCCCTGGCTTAAGTCGCGTTCTTTCGATGAGAATTTAACAGGTGCAGACAGATGAGAAACCAGCAATGGAGTGTATTGCTGTGAGCTGAAAGCAAGTGCCACTAAGAAGCAGCGGTAGCTTGCATGGATCATCCTAATTCAGTCAATGTCAAGTGCGGAGAACCTGAGAGGGGCATCATCCGGATTGCCTTGTGTGGACTGGGTTAGCAATCGTCTCCACAGTGAACACACACCATTCATACGATCAATCCCTTCACGAATTTCCAATGAGCAAGAAGAAACCAAATTTCAACAGGATATACTGAATTCAGTAATTTCATGTGTTCTCCTCAGTTGTTTAGAAACAATTTGTGGAAAAGATACGCTACATTGCAAGGAATATCAAGTTGCAATGTTATCGGCGAAAATTTAATGCGGTCGAAAATCAGTGAGTTCACGTGACCCGGTAGGAGGAAAGATGGCACCAGGGTAGGGCGAGGCTAGCCATGAAGTCCGTTTGTTTGCACACACTTGGTTTGAACCGGCGAATCGCCAAGGCCTCCGCGAACTGAAGTAGACGGGGACTACCACGTGGTTGGTTTTCGCATACAGAGCAATCAAGTACGTGGCATGCAATAAAGCTAGTGGGATGTTTCGGGCCATTTGCGACCATGTACCGGAGGACGTGCTCTGCAATCCTCGCTGATAATCTCCTCTCAGTTCTGCCAACGTACTCGCCACCGCAAGTACAGGTAAAAATGTAAACGTACGAGGTGGTAACTTGAGAGTCCGGTCTGTGCAGGTTGGATATGCACAGCAGCCTCCTGACTTGGTACAATGCCGCTAGCTCAGCCGTGTAATAGCACTTCTTGATAGATTGACGAAGATGTTGCCGACATCTTCTGTCCACTTGGTCCCTTTTAAACAGTAGCGGTAAAAAACCATTTTCTTTGGAACATCTGTTGATGGTTTATCTTTCGGTTGCAAGCTCGCGTACCGTGCTATAAATCGCTTGGGATATCCATTCTTTTGTAATGTCGAGGTGACGCGTTGCAGTTCACATTCTATAGTCGCCGGAGAGCAAATTTGACGCACTGTAACAAAAGCCGTAAGGACTAAAGCTCGATTGTAGTTCATAGGGCAGAAGCTATTAAAGTTCAGGTACTGTCTCGTCCATGTTGGTTTTCTGTACACAGACCGAACGAGTGTACCGTCTAGCTTTCTCTGTAAGTCAACATCCAGGAAATGGAAGGATCCACGAGATTCATATTCTGTCGTGAATTTGATCGCGGGATGGCACTTATTCATCATTTCCAGTAGGTAAGCTGCCTACTGAGGAGTGTCCTCAACCACGAAGGTGTCGTCCATATACCGGTCATAAAAGTGTACATTCGGTATATAAGATAATTTATCCGTTAACTCTCGGAATTTGCGAAGATTAACTGGATCTCACATAGAGGTCTCTACTCATAGCGTTAATGAATCAAACGCGAAAATAAGATGTGTAGTTCAAGTACCTAATTGTTTAAATTTTGTATGCCGTGCAACGTTTTTCAACGTCCTTTCTGCCCTATTGCTAAAAGCGCGTTCAAACACCAGAAATCAACTGATGAATTCCATTTCACCGGAATGCTCCAACGACCACATGGCGGTGGAACTTGGGAAATATGTGTTAAATCTGTCTATCATCTCACTGATTCGTCACCGATTTGAAGCTTTATGGCTTGGTTTCCATTTCTCAGTTCCACCAAATAAATGCGATAGAACACGGACTGAAGCTCAGTTTGAGTATCTTTAAGAGCAACTGTCCAGTCTAACACCGATCAGCGATGATGCAAGCAGATGCTGAAGAGCTAGATTTGTCTATTTGACCAACCAATTTTGTGCAGAATTCTAACGAAGGATCATTGGGAATGCTTAACGCAGTCGCGACGAAATGAATGTCTGGTAATACTGATACCCGACAAGGGATCAGGAGTAGTAATATTGGAAAAGCAAGACTACATTCAGAAAGTTCAAACAATTCTTGTAGACTCTAACCGCTTCGTTCGTGATGTGGTAGGCCGCGATAAAACCGAACAGATGGAGAAGTTAATAGTCCGAGAATTAAAGAAGCTATTGAAGGCGGGATTGATTGATGCAAAAACTATGACACAGCTGCGCCCTCGGGGATCTCGACTTCCCCACATGTATGGCTTACCAAAATCCCATAAAGAGAGCATCCTCCTACGTCCAATCGTCTCAATGGTAGACGCACCGTACCAAAAACTAGCCCGATGGCTAGCGAAACTCATCGATCCCATCCGGAAGGGAATGTCACAGTACAGCATAAGAGATAGACTTGAATTTGTCAACAAGATAGGTAATTTAAACGTTAAAAGGGAGACATATGGTCCCTTTTAATGTATGCACGTTACTCACAAATGTCCCTTTGGAAGAAATGTTAGATATAATAGCCAGGCATGCTGATAAAGTCGAGATCCCAGCGTCCCAACTCAAGTCACTACTCCGTTTATGCACGAAAAATATTCAGTTCCGATTCAATGGAATCCTGTATCGACAAATTGACGGCGTGACCATGGGTAGTCCATTAGGCTCAGTTTTGACTAATATCTTATGAGCCACTTGGAAAACACCGTGCTACATTCTTGTATACAGAATGTACACTTTTACGACCGGTATATGGACGACACCTTCGTGGTTGTTGACACTCCGCAGCAGCCAGCTTACCTACTGGAAATGATGAATAAGTGCCATCACGCGATCAACTTCACGATAGAAAATGGATCTGATGGATCCGTCCATTTCCTGGATGTTAAGTTACAGAGAAAGCTAGACAGTACACTCTTTCGATCTGTGTACAGATAACCAACATGGACGGGACACTACCATAACTTTAATAGCTTTTGCCCTATGAACTACAAACGAGCTTTGTCCGTACGGCTTTTGCTAGAGTCCGTCAAATCTGTTCTCCGGAGACTATAGAATGTGAACTGGAACGCGTCACCTCGACACTACAAAAAGAATGGATATCCCACGCGATTTATAGCACGGTCCGAGTGCTTACAACCGAAAGATAAACCATCAACAGATGTTCCAAAGAACAAAGTACTTATTACGCTGCTGTTTAAAGGAGACCAAGTGTACAAAAGATGTCGGCAACATCTTCGTCAATCTATCAAGAAGTGCTATTACGCGGCTGAGCTAGCGGCATTGTACCAAGTCAGGAGGCTGCTGTGCATATCCAACCTGGACAGACCGGACTCTCAAGTTACCACCTCGTACGTTTACATTTTTACCTGTACTTGCGGTGGCGAGTACGTTGGCAGAACTGAGAGAAGGCTATCAGCGAGGATTGCAGAGCACGTCCTCCGGTACATGGTCGCAAATGGCCCGAAACTACCCACTAGCTTTATTGCATGCCACGTACTTGATTGCTCTGTATGCGAAAACCCACCACGTGGGTTTAAGGTAATCAACATACAAAGTAGTCCCCGTCTACTTCAGTTCTCTGAGGCCTTGGCGATTCGCCGGTTCAAACCAAGTGTGTGCAAACAAACGGACTTCGTGACTAGCCTCGCCCTAACCTGGTGAGGCCAGTGCCATCTCTCCTTCGACCGGGTCACGTGAACTCACTGATTTTCGACCGCATTAAATTTTCGCCGATAACATTGCAACTTGATATTCCTTGCAATGTAGCGTATCTTTTCCACAAATTGTTTGTAAACAACTGAGGAGAACGCATGAAATTACTGAATTCAGTATATTCTGTTAAAATGTGGTTACTTCTTGCCCTTTTGACACTTCATTCAAGTAGACTTACATGAGGTGAATATACATCAGCTCTGAGAGCAACCGAATCCACATTTACACCACAAGCTGCCGACATTCACAAGTATTTCGTTCGCCTGCGTTGCCGGTTATATGAACTGATAACAAAGCGAAACACTAGCAAACCATTGTGTTACTATGGATCAAGTGAAAATGTGGTTAGGGGAAACGGGAAGCAAGTAGTAAAAGGGGTGTCGTTCCGCAAGTGTTGACCGCCTTTGTGAACACAACCTTGGAGCTGTGACGGAAGCTACTAAATGAACCGACATCAATCACATTCGCTGGGTAAATTAAGTGCGTCTCTGACAAAAGGGTATCGCAGAATGCGTGAAACGTACTTGCGTGTTTATGTATTCCAGAACACGATCACCGAACGAATCCGACATCGGGCCTGATAAATCAGAAGTGGCAGAATCGCCAATCGACGTCTTTGTGTACTCCTGTCGCATAAAATCCGCAACATTTATCATCTTCCATCCCATCTTCTCATCGGATTGACGCAGAAACGGATCCACGACTCGCTGGTACCACTTAACGGGATATTGTAGTGCAATGAAAACGTATTTGTGAAAACTGGATGCTTCATCACGCTGACAATCGTTAGTGGATACGCCAAGATGCCGAGTGATGTGGGTGCCAAGAACATAGCGAAGCAACTCACATAGCAATGCTTCGTGGGTGCAGTCTCCGTGGCTGAGTAAAAGGCAGAAATGTTTCCAACCTACACCAACTGTGTCGTCTGACGGAAACAGAGGTTCGAGAACAGTTCTCAGTTCCATCTGCTGAAAAAATGACCAAAAGGTACAATTGTAGTGAATACAAGGTGAACAGAGTTCAAAAGTGAGCGCATAGAAAGGGCCATGAATAGCGTCCACCACCACCCCTTGGTCCCGCAGCAGCGGAGCTGCATGCTATTGGGAAAGTCCCCAGATAGCGGATCACGGGGTGGTCCCTTGAGTGGATCGTCTGTGAGATGGGCTAGTCTAGACAAGCATCGGCAGTGTGAAGGAGTAGGCTAATCACATGGTTCTAAATCACATACCAAAAGAGGTCGCACGAAACTGTCAACGCCAATCGGACCGACTATGGTCATTGACCATGCACTGCTGCAACGAGGGGCGAGTACACAACGAAAAGAGCAAAAAGAACATTGTTTGCTGTAGCTTTGTGTATGGTCTCGAACAGCACACGTTGATTTTCAGGAATAATATGGGGGGGGGATTAAAACGTTCTCGGCCCGACACAGAAAGAATCCAAACAATTAAATCATTCTTAGTCACTTGGCAACATAATCTCCCATAACTTGAGTGTAGTTAGTTCAATTGTGTACAATAATTGCTACGCCTGTGCGGAACAAGGTCAAGGGATGTCCCTGTAAAATAGCTCCACAGCAGTAATCAAATCATTCGAATTGGTAAATCCGTGACCCCGAAGGTGAGATTTCAGTACTTTAAGGTAAAAGTCTGATAGTGCCAGATCTCTTGAATAAGCGTGGTGGGGCAGCAACATAAAGCCACAGAAAGCTGGTTCTGGCACGTCCGTTCGGTGGGTGGGAACAGGTATGTTGTCCTACAAAAGAAGAACTACTGCGAGCATCTCTCGCCGTGTTTTGGTGATTGTTTCAGTTGGTGTAATTCTGAAGCGTAATGCTCGTCTGTGATGGTTTGACCACACTGTAAAAAGTTTATCATGATTCCAGCTTCACTGTACCAGAATAAAGAGGCTATCAATCTTCGCACGAACGTCACTTGACGGATTTTCTTTGCGGCATAAAAACCAATATTCCCCTGTTGTTTACTCTGAATCTTTTACTCAGCTTTAACGATGAACCTTTAGAGGAATTTGCGGGATTTGCCTTGAAATTGGTCAAAAGTTGCCACGAAGTTTCCAGTCCGTTCAATGTATGATCGGGTGTCAACACTCTCCGCACTCATCTTGAAGTCAGCTTTCTCACCCCCAAGATGTTCGTTAAACCAGTATACACTGAGCCAACTTAGGAAAAAAGTAATCTTCTATCATTAGGTATAATCAAGGAGATGATATGCTCATGATCGTTACAAGTCGAAGATTGTGGGTCATTTTTAATGCCCTCTCTGTCTTAGTATTCGCAACCCACTTCATAATAGTGGAATATGAATGGGAGTCCTCACCAAGTGTCTAGACAAGATCAGAATGGATTTCCTTTGGCGTCATGCCTTTTTATGGGTACCTTATCACAGCTCGGCTTTCAAACTGGCCCATTTTCAGAAACAGCACCCCAGATCAATTACAAGGATCATTTTCTGCAAACAAATAGAGATATGGTATAGGTAGAGATTCGTCACATCTAGACTCAGGTAGATAGCCATCACACGCCCGGAAAAAACACTACACGGAAGTAACGTGCAAGTCAGTGGATAGTGAGCAGCGCTATATCACACCTAGTAACTTATTCTCGATGGTTGTTGTCGTCCCGTGTAGCTCAGTGGTCTCAACCACGGACTGTTAACAGTCGAGTTTCGGTTTCGAGCCCTACCAGGGTGAGATGGAATGCGCAGTGCCAACGATTACCGAAAGGATGAAACGCGCGTACAGTGCATCTCTGGGCATGCGATGGCTCTCTGAGTGAGTCCAGATGTGACGAATTTCTACCTATACCATTCAACTCCCCCTACTACTCTTCTGTAAATAGTGATATATACCTGAGATTGGACACTAATACTCCCAGGATACAATACTTTCGTAAGATAGTCTTACTTCGTATGCAGTACACTTACATCCTTGTCGAGCAGAGAACTTTTTGATCAACTTTTATTTGTATTTTGAAGCCGATGAGACATAGATCAGCACCGTTTGCGAACTAGTCGAGGTTTGCTCCAGTGTAAATTTTTGGACCATAGTCGTGCAAGTACGTGATGCGAGTGCAGTAAATTTGCTTCAGAAATGCAAGTAGAACAAGAACAGAATCATGTGAGTCGAGTTAGAACTACTTAGCAATCCAAAGAGAGCCCAACCTGCAATTTGCATGCCAAAATGCTTGTGCTATGTCCAGATGCGTAACAGACCGTATTGAAACTTGTCAAATTTTCCTTCCACTAATGAAAGTTGAACCCCTAAGATTCGCCTATAAGGAAATAAGGAGACCGGCGAATGGAGACAAAAGTCGAGCAACCTGTGGCCAATCCACTCTCCTCGGCACGAGAATGTAGCATCCGCCGCGCGAGAGCACAACCAACGTCGACCGTTGCCGTATGCAATAACCTGACGGCTAGAACCATTAATTCTCAAGCGAAATGTTGGTTAAGCACTATGGTGTGATCTGTGGAGGGTTCATCCGAAGATCACATAATGACAGCTGACTAAAACAGAAAAGGTATCATCACTGTACTGACATTTTGTAAGAAAGCTTGGTCGCCGTGCCCAAGTGCTAATCGCTATTGTACATTTCGTGAATGCACCATATCCAAAAGGTGATTAGACAGAATGCGGTCTAACCAAAGAAACGGTCATGAAAGTGATGCATACCTTTTACTTCTACCCTTTGCGATAAAAGGGACCAGCACAGCCTGACACAAGTGTCCGTGAGATACGCGTTGTTTATGTAAGTTGCAGTTACAACCTCTGATACAACTAGTTACTCACTGAAGAAGGCAAGAAGGGACGGTCAAACCACGGATCGTACACAGGACAGGGGATGCTTGGTGGGCACCCGAATAGACATGGTTCCATGACCCCTTGAATTCCGGAAATATTATATTGAAAGTTCCTTGTTGCATCTACAAGTTGGAGATTTCCACGCAACAGGAAAAACCCTAGACGACCATTTTATCTTACTGGGAGTTGTTGTTAGTTCGGCTACCTCGACTATGGGCCCATAACAGCCTGAAACCAATGACTTGTCATTAGATACAGCTTCCAAATACTGCATCGGACATATCTACAATACTTTAAATTGTAGATCTAGGGGTTACTGCAAAATTAAAAGAGGAAAAATGGGGACCAAATCGTGCACAATACTTCAAGTCAGCAGTTAACCTGGGCAGTGCCCACGGAGGTGTCGTGTGGGACGGGAGAAAGAAGCGGCACAGTCATCGGGACAATATAAGATCAAACTGGGTCAAAAAGAGCAAAGCGAAGAGACGAGGATATGTGATGTGCCTCCGGTGACAAAAAATGATTCAGATGAGCAGACCTTATTGGATATTGCTTTCATATAATCTAAAGTCGGGGACGTAGACGAATAACCGATGCCTGCGAATGCGCTCGAAGTCAAGACATCAAAGCCTAATGAAACAAGGTGAGCTTCAGCAAACACCTTATGTGCAAAGCGGTATTCGAGGTAGGAGAAAACATTTCGTTCGCTGTGATAACTTGGTTACATTATCTCGTATGGGCGGCGGATACAAAGATGCCAATATTCCATCGGAACAATCAGAGAGACATAGGGCGGTGGGTAAACAGCTCGAGTAGTTGAACGGCGAATTAGAAAATTGGATCATTCCGCACGTCTTGCCATACAAAAGTAGTAATTCCAACGTCCAAATGGCTCAATCACTCCTTATGTGTTCTAGATAGCTCTCAAGACATTGGAGACGTGAGGCGGAGTCTATGGTTAACAAGCACCAGCTGTGTGTGCAACGGCAGCTAAATTGGTGAGTGTCGCTCAGTACGCAAAAAGCGAGCATCTCACGCATGAAAAAGAGAGTACAATAGATCAGCATAAAAGGTTGTATTTGCGTCTCATTGAACACCAAATGAAAGAAAGAAAATAACATAATGGAAACAAAATCGCCGGTGTTGAAATCTGAAAGTTGAAACGGATGAAGCTTAGAATGCACTATTCTACACAAGATAGCGATGCGAAAAGCGCTGATCCTCGGTGCAGAACAGCTGTAAGGACAAAAATCCAAGAATAACGTAGACCAGAGGCAGATATGTCCAAAAACAGAGTACATGTGGCCAAGAAGTGTGAAAATCCAATATCACGGAAGATGACACGCCCGCATAGGGGTGTGCGTGACTGGATGAAGACAGTAAACGACCTGTTCGGGTTTGGATGACAACTAGGTGAACACGACCACGGAATGAGCCATATACCGGGCGATTAAGTGCTAACGTCCCAAGACAGTATGAGTTGCCGTCTGGAGCATATTGAATGGAAGAAGAATGTGCGGAATGTGTGGACCAGTCAGAGATGGGAAGTCCTGAAGAATCGACCAGCTATAAATCAAGAACAATGAAATCAGATGTGAAACTGAGAAGTCACATAGTGAAGTAAACAGTAGATGTGTACAAGCATTCAATCAAGCTACAGACGCATCATATATGCTAGAAACGTACGCATATGCTTGATAGAGGGCTAGAGACAGATATCATCGACTTAAGGCAACGAATAGGTGCCCATCCTGAACTGTTAAAGGGACCAGGGTAGTCAATAAACGCAGCTGGATTACGTGAAGTTCAGATTTTCAAATTGATGATAGCTTAACTGCATGTGCAACTGTGAAATCCAAGAAGGACGGCTTTTGCTGCAAAGGAGAAGAAATCCTTCCATAGTCAAAGGAGAAGGAAGTCATTCCTGAGGAGCAGAACACGCAAAAGCATGTCCTTGAGTGACTTAGCATAGAGAGCTCACAAGAATTCCCCGCATTCCGAAACGTGGAGTGCCTATATGGCACGGCGTAAGTTCAGTGTGAATTTGATTTGCGAGGACAAGGTGACGCATCAGCAGTAGTTAAGGAAGATTCTGCACGAACCGCAAACTCTTATACAGGCATGTTAACGGCCTTCGTAAGGTGCAACGGGGAATTCCAGCACTGATCACGACTGACGAGTGTACGCGATCAGCAACGGAAGCAGCCGATCTCTTACAGCTCCATTACTCACAAGCGTTCCAGAGTAACGGGCCAAAAGGTTATCCATGTTTCTATTGTCTCACAATCAATATTATCCATATTACTTCTACTGCAGAAAGTGTGTCGAAGAAACTGATGTCCCTGCGTATCCACAGCTCTCCTGGTGTCGATAACATTTGACCGAAGGCTTTACAGGCAGTAGCCAGTGATCTGGAAGAACCTCTGGCTATATTCTATCAGCGCTGTATGGAGGAGAACCATATTCTAACAATATGGAAGCGAAGGGTCATCACTCCTATTCATAAGGGAGGTAGTCGCACTGACCCAACTAAGTGCCGTCCTATAACGCTACTCCCTGTGCTTTCCAAAGCTATAGAGTCTATCATCGCTGATGCACTCATGCAGTATCTGGAAAATCACAAGATGACAGCACCAGAGCAACGTCTTCCGACAAAAGCGCTCATGCGCTACGAACCTGTTAATTGCACGCAATAGCTGGACTGAAGCAGCTGATGGTGGAGCAGAAGTTGATGTGAATTACGTAGACTTCTCAAAAGCGTTTGATCGCTTAGACCACTGAATTCTCCTCCATAAACGTGAACTTTATGGCGTTGATGACCCCCTGCTGAGTTGGATAGGCAATTTCCCGCACGAACCTCGGTTAGAAGTGAGAATACGAGAATCTCTGTCCGACGCAACTGTGGTGGAGTGCGGCGTACCACAAGGCTCGGGCCTCGTCTATTCTTGATTTTCATAAACGATCGGCAGAAGGAAACGATTTCCAAATTCCTATTCTTCGCGGATGAGATCAAGTTATGGCGAGCGATCGGAGAGCCGAACGACCAGGAAAAGCTCCAGCGTGACCTCAACAAGATTTCAAACTGGTCAGTTCTGAATACACTACCGTTCAAGGTGGAAAAATGTCACGCTGTTCAATTGCGCCATAGGCATGACTACGTGTATAGGCTTGGGTCACATGTATTGCAAACAATTTCCCAAGAACACGACCTTGGTGTGCCCACTCAAAGTGATCTTAACAGTTCAAAACAGTCAGAAGCAGCTGCGAAAAGAACCAACCAGCACGTCGGCTTCCTGCGGAGAGCATTCGGAGGTTTCGACCCATCCATCTTCCCCATGATGCCAATTCTTACGTGCGCCCTCACGTTGAATACGCCATGCAAGCTTGGCAAACTTGGCTGAAGTGCGACTTAGAAGCGCTAGAGAAACCACGACGCAGCGCCACAAAGATTGTCAAGGGCCTACGAAATCTGTCATACTATCAAAGGCTGAAGTCACTGGGAGCGTAGCGATCTCATATTAGTCTACCAAATACTGAGTGACCCAATTCAAGTATGCCGTCACTTGCTGAAACGCAACCATAACACCAATCTCACAAGTAGACCTCTGTAATTGTGTGCACAGTATATGCTGTGTCGCCCCTGACGCCTTCAACCCAAGACCACAAGAAGAAATCCAAAGAGTATACATGAAATCACATTCGCTCATATAGTTTTGAAGGCAAAATGAGGGGAATCTACTAAATCACACTTGAGCCAACTGACAGATGGAAAAGGTCAAATGCAACGGCGAATATGCAACCGTGTAATCAAGAGCGAATCGCATATATTCTTAAAAATAGCATCATGGGACTCCAAGCGTAAAGCGAACATCCATTAACAGTGACGGGCACTGGCCAATCAGAACAACGAAATGTAGCGGTTAAACAAATGTCACGAAACGAACGAGAATAGGAAGTGGAAACCCAAATATTACCATCTAGTACAATAAGTGTGTGACAACTAAATATTCCTTTAACATAAACAAATAGAAAAGTCATGCGAAAAAAAACAATGGAATGTGTTCTTGTAAATGGCACTGCTGAAGATGACACGGTGAACGTTCAGTAAAAAGGACGTGTGTGTACCAATCGGACGAACACAGCGGAGCGTTTAAACAACAGTCAAGAAGTGGAAAATAGGAAGAATAAAGAGTGGTTATTAGGCTCGTTCACAAAAAATAAATGTCAAGTAGTTATCCTCCTAACAGTATAACCGCCTGGAATGCCGGCGGAATTATTTTTCTCTTCGGGTTTACCAACCCGGGAATTCTCTCCCAAACTTCATCGTTTCTTCCCCCGCGTTGGATATTTTCAAAAAATAATTGGATCTTGCCTTTGGCCCCTATCACTACGTTGCCTAAACTGTGCTACTATGGAATATATTAAATAACCCTACAAACCGGAGTAACATTGTACATAAACCTGAGTAGTCCGTACAGAAGTGAGTATTCTCGTTTTCACTTTTCGCACGGAGTACAACAACTATAACTGTCCCCATGTTGCCTCGTTGTTCGAATGCAATTCCCACTTACACTACTATTATGCAGCAGTGCATCTGCTAGATAAACTCTCAAACAGACAACGCACCTATTTTTTGATAATTGCAGTTTTACCCCCACCATCCTGCAGGACTTATCAAGCAACTGCTTTATTACCCGGTATAAATCATTGTTCATTGTTGTTCATGGTTTAAAGAAAAGGCTCCAATGGAGTATCAGATATAAAATTTTGTTATTGTTAACACAGAACAAGTATACTAACCCACAGTATCATACCTACACGCTGTGAAACAAAGCGAAAGAGAGGTGAATCAGTTTGTCTAAAAGGTATTAGTCTCCTCTATTTTCACAAATAATAAGCTGGCCGGAATGATACGAGTCAAATGCGATTTACCATGAACCATACTCAACGTAGCCCCGCGGATAGAGCAGGGGTAGATTGGGCCGATCGTGACGAGTGAACCCACCCGTCACTGAAGGCAATCTACTCGAATGCATGCCAGTGAATAGCCGCATGTGTGTGGTTCGGCTTCGAACCTCTATTGGGATTAAAAAGCAGCGCCTGAAGACATGGTATCATTTCGTCACCTCGGTCTATGCCCCTACTGACTGCAGGTGGGGAGGTGTCAAAGACCATTTTTATCAGCATCTTTCATCTCTTCTCCGTATGGCGAATTATAATAACATCGTGATTGTTGCTGGTGACTTGAATGCCAATGGGTTGTCTTTTGGAATCTGAAAAACAACCGGGAGGCCGCTTCGGGGTATATGCATCCCAAACAGACAATGATGATCGACTCCTGCAATTGTGAACCCATCACAATCTGCAGATTAGCAGCACTAATGTTCACATCGTGTCACCTGGCACTCACCGCACTCGATGAACTGGACGAAAATTGACAATATTGCCATTAGCAACAGCTGGTGCATATCGATTCAAAACTGTCGGACAATGCGGAGCACGTGCCTAGAATACTACCAGGCTTTAGTGTGAGCCCACCTGGCACTCACTTCTCCCGATTCATTAAAGAACCTTACCTCTAGACTATAACTTGTAACTTGAACTCAGTCTGAAGTTCAACAATGTCATGGAGAACTGGCCCACCAATTGTCAGTGGTGAATGAGGTTCGTGATACGAACATTGACTGCGATCGTCTCATGTGCGCCATGAAGAATGCCTTTGATGTCTGCGGTACGCCCAAACTGTGAATGGTTGTCTGAGGCGTCGATCAAGTTGGCCGAAGAACGCGAAGCGGTACCCTTGGGTAGTGAGTCTAAGCGTGTCCGTAACTCCATGAAACGGTGTCTGACGAAGAGTCCTCGAATCGACCGGGAATGTTGACTGGTAACAAGGGCTCATGAGGTAAAGAAGGTCAGGGCAATAGGAAACAGCCGAGTACTGTTCTACCTCATCTGGAACACGGGCCCAAAAGTTAAGAATTAGTGAGCAAATAGATGTGAAAGATGGACAGCTGATCCATTCTCAGGCTCGTCGACTAGCCCGTTGGGCAGAACATTTTGGAGAGCAACTCAGAAGATCTGTTGCGACATAGCCGCTTGCTGCTGAGCCGACGTCGGAAGTAGCTGTAATACCTCTCAGTTTTGAAGAGATTCGACAAGAGTTCCCTTTTTTAAAACGAAACAAAGCTTCTAAAACCGACGACTTTCCTCCATCAAGTTTGGAAGATGGACCAGACTTGTTTATCTGCTAAACACGATTTGGTGCTTTCAGACTGGCGACTATCAACCGTCGTGACATATTCAATAAGGGTCAACCCACTTTGTAGGTAAAGCATCGAGGAAGTAGCCTTATTTTTATTGCCTCCAAAGATATCAGGCTGATTTCCACCCTAGCCTTGGTTGCGTCTATCACATATTGGCTCGCAGTTTTAGAGCAGAGACACATACACAGACGACCGACTACGGTGGTTTTCCCTGACTTCGATTCTGCTGACCGCGCCATCTTGTATCATTGTCTATCCATGGACAGCGTACGAACTAACTCTTTTCCACTATGTAGACTCTACTGTGGTTCATGAGGTTGGATAAGACTTTAAGGGAAACTCACATGAGTTCGAGAAAAGTGAGTTGCTCCATATCTCCTTTCCTCTCGAACATTGTTACAGGAATGCTAACGAATGACTCTGTTCCTTCAGACTCTACCGGAGTGGAAGTAATGCCAGGCGACCGATTGACAACTCTGGAGTATGCGGACGACATAGCTTTTGGGTCTGATGCAGTGGTTATGCAACCAGTGCGGAATAGACTAGTGCATAGGGCTGCATGCATTGATATGTGCTTTACACCATAGTGCAAAGTACTGCTGTAAGACTGGACCGCACACTTCCGGTTCTGGCCAACATCAAACAGTGGATCGGTTTACTTGTCTTGGTATCTGTGTCATCTCCGGTGGTCACATCACTAAAGAGGCTACTTTGCGTATCAGCAAGGTTCATGTGGCATTCCAGAGACGTAACCATCTAAGAGGACGGTGGGATAGCAGCATGTCAGTGAAATGTAGGGTATATAACGCTGCAGTAAGGCCGGTGTTACTGTATGGATCAGAAAACTGACCAGTTCCCGGCGAGGAAATTAACCACTTGGCTGTGTCTGACCACCGGTGCTTGCGGAATATTGCACACGTCTGGTGGGAACACCAAGTGAGCATTGCTGAGGTCCGCCAGTTGTATTTTGGCAAGGAACTTTCTGGTACCTCACTCGAGTGTTCACTGACTCTTAATCGGTTACGTTGGCTAGGCCATGTCCTCCGTATGCCCGTTGACCGGCTTCCTCGGCGTGTATTATACGCCGCAGATGCACCAAGTTGGGCGAAACCGCGAGCTGATGAGTCCATGACATGACATAGAGGCATGAAGAAACTGCCTGAGAGACATGGTTATGCTGGTGCATGTTCTCTTTGTGGATAGGAGGGCTGCGATAGTGCACATCAGTGGTTGGAGACCCTATCGGACATGGCGCAGTCGCGCAGTCAGTGATGTTCCTGGATTCGGTTTTTCGTATCTAGCTCTTAATCTCACTACATCCTGTTAAGGTTGACGTACCTCCGGTTTTGATTCCATGCTATATGCACTCTGTCTCATTTTCCTACTATTGTCGGTTACTGTTATTCTGGCGACGTGAGTAGTGGCGACTAGATCCACCGCATTCGGTATCCGGATCACAGTCTTTCAACTGAACTGAACTAAACCTAAACTCTGGACAACGCTAACTGGTCGACAGTGAAACGAAGGATTGAACACGTTGCTTACCCGAACCGCGTAGTCAAGTTGACCTGAAGCAATGGACCAACTTAGGCAATTACGCAATGCGTATCGAACAGACTGCTGATTGGGATCCATGTGGATGACATCGACAGGTTGGCCACGGTTATCCAAGAAGACGGCGTCGAACTGAAAAAGACCGAACAGTATACAACGAGTGCATGGTGAAATAGCTCCATAAAACAGGAGAATGGGAAGCATTCCGTTAGCAGGAGAACACTAAGTTACATAGATTTGTGTAGAAATTTTATACTTCAAATTTCCATGTAAAGCATAGGGCCAGAATGACACAGTCATGGTTTAATCAACAGAACCACGAGATTGTTAAAAATTGAAAATCTAATGCAATACGCACAGAAGAGATCTACTGAGGAGTACGTCGTTTTTGCGGCGAGGTCGGCCACATCAGCGGTTATCTACCGTTAGGCGCTAGCACGAGGTTAAATAAACCAAAGCCCACATAAACGCTACCGAAAGTGGCCGAAATCTAGTCGTGCACAATTAAGCCAAAGTAAGAGTCTGAAACAAAGGTAGAAGCGCGCAAACCCAACAAATGCATAGGTGCAACAACGGAGCACACTGGGCGCAAGCAATGTACGAGCGTCTTTCAGCAAGTTGGAAAGCAACAGTTTTAATTGCTGAAGAGTGGCAGTCGGTGGTACAAACTGCTAACTAGTGGCCCAAGCTGCTAGCCGGCATGGGTTCGGTTTCTGATGTAGCCGGAGGATGCGCTCCACTAACGAGTCTCATTGAGGCGAAACAGCCGCCTGTTAACTTTCCGGGTTGACGATTGCACTAGCTGGCTTGTGAGATGCTTGGACGAATCAGCAAAAGTTCGTGAAAAATTCGCCTACTCATCAGTAATCAAAATTCAACCTAACAGTCTTTAAATGCTGTGCAAACGCCGCTGGCGACCAGCCAAAATCCTCCTCAATGGTAGCGAGTTGCACGGCAGTAGTAGATCGGTCGCATAATATCCAAGTTCGTTTGCAAGGTAAAACGTTCGCCACCCGCACACATGACTCAGTGACATAAACTGCTGAACAGTGGTGCAAGCTACTAGCGGTCATGTATTCGGTTCCTGATGGAGCCGGAGGATGCGCACCACTAACGAGCACTAATAGGGCAAAACGGCTTCCCGTGATATCCTTGGTTGATGGTTGGACAATCTGGCTCGTGAGGTGCTGGGACGGACCATTAAAACCAACTGTATGTCACTTGTTCCCGCAACGTGTCAGTTCATCAACGAAACAAGGGGCGGTGCACGTTACAGCGAGCCAACGTCTTCATCTGGGTTAGGCCTGGGCTGTGTAGCCTAAAGTTGACGTGAATTCAGTCTCTTGCTACCAGTTTAAATTCGTCTATAAGGTGGAGCAACCAACCAATGTTGCTACAACATTGTGAACTTCAGTAGCGCTTGTTTGCTCCGATTGTTCAGTTTCCCACTATTGTCAATCGCCTGTGTTGTAGCGGAGTGATTAAAACCGAGCGCAGAATTTTGTTGACGAACTGAACTGAGGACTTGTGAATAGGGGTTAGTGACAAAATTTTTGAGGGTTCATGGCCAAACCGTCTATGTCAGATGTTCTCCCAAGTATCAGGAAAAGCACTGGACGGCTGTTTCATCGTGTTGCGACTCGCCAGTATTGTGCACACCGCTGCCGCAACAGAATTCATAACTACACGACGATAGCGGCTTACGCCACCTGGCCATGGAAGACAACGGCATGCCGTAAAAACTTACAAACTAACCTTGTAAAACTGCGGTACATCCACAACTGCAAAACAGCATCAATAAATGATTACATTTGAACTGAGCTTCAGTATTGCAGCTTGCCGAACAACCTCGTGATGCCAGTTGGGTTGATCGGGATTATCCTATTCCAGCAAATGGTTCGGTGGCCGTGTTGCAGGACATGGTTGGTTTTCGCATGGCAAACATTACCCTTACAAAAAGTCCGTTCAACAGAATTGTGGCGTGGCGAATTACATTTGCCACGTGCATGTGCATGAACCACTTGTTCGATGACCAAATCGCAAGTGACTGCGACGAACTCATATCGCCCAGCTACCTTGTAGATTAGATACTTGATCAAAACCTAGGGGTAGGGTCCCTAAGACAACCCACTACTTCGGTCTGGGCAACCGGGTAGTATCACGTCTACTGAAGAATCACAGATGGATCCTACTATTGCATCCGCCATTGCTATGTCTACCTGCTCTACTGTCTTCAGCGCTCAAGCTCCGCTCATAGATCGTCCCACGTCCCGTTCTTGAGCCAAACTTATGCCCTCTCCGGTCACCACCAAGAAGAACTCACTGGTAGCACCTGACGGAAGTCAGAGTCAAACTCTTGGGGTTCAATGCCCATTGATCACATCTTTCTCATACTCCACCGAGGCCCCTGCTTTTCTATAAGTGGTTTGCGACTCGGCTGGTATCGTCCACTCTTCGCACTCTGATGCAGATCAGACGGAAAGTTTAACTGGCCTGCGCCCTTGAGACAATCGATAGACATCTCTCACATTACGGAAACCATATTGCAAGACTACAGTGCCGTCCTCAAAAAGGCGTCTCCGGTAAACACTGACGTAAATAATATTTGGATCAACATCATAATCATCAACGGTAGTACATTAGCCGTTTGAACTGATGCTTCGCTGCCATACAACCATAAGGACCTAGGTTACGAAGAATAATAAGGAGAGAAGGAAGGTTACCGGAGAACCTTAATGCCTAAGCAAATATTCAGGGTCAAGGCCCAAACAATTTGTCAACAACATACCGCCACAGACAGCTGGCTATCGTGCAAAGAAAAGGCAGAATCAGCGAGACAGCTTCCTTGCGGCTTTCAGTGCCCCGTTTCATAATAAATCATAAACCCGCAGATGATTCCACAACAAACACAATTTAAACAAGCAGTCCGACGAGGAGAGAGCAGCAGACACGCCACTGGTATCGACTGCGAGCAACGTCCTGTAACGTCTTGAGTTAAGCACAAAGCGAGTCACGTGGAATCCAGGCAGAAAGCCGAGACGGATCGACGGATTCGGTTTTGGTCGTCAGTGACTTCGTTTCCCACTGCCAAATCAACTTCTGTCCACCTCAAGCCTTGTGTCACCCTACATCTGGCAGACAAAACAGGGTCCACCTCGGTAACCGGTGATAAGGCAAACGTAACACGTGCCCAAGTCAACGCAACTTATTTAATTCATTATGTTGTTCTAAAAAATAGCCTGGTTATCATTACCTAGTACTCGCTTGTGTACACGGGTCTTTGAGAAGAAGAAAAACTCCTTTCTGTCGCCAAAGATGTCGCAGATTCAAAAAAGCAGTGCTGGCTTTTGCAATACGTGAACCGACATCAGTGTATGCGCCTATCGTTGCTAATGCAGCTGTCAAGGTAAGTGAATGGATCAACTAACTCATTCCTCGCTATCAAGGACCAAGGAGTCATCGAGTGGCTGGTCGTCCTGCAGCAACACTTTGCACTTTGAAAAGACGAAGAGCATGCCAAATGATGAGACCAGTCTAGAGGTTATCCGGGGTTGATTGCATCACCCGAAAATCGTTAAAAGTAGGACAGGATCTCGACGATTCCATCCTCAGGCTCCGCAAGGGAACATTCCATGATGAAGTTCACGACAGAATTGAACAAAAAAGGGGAATTTGGCAAGCTTGACGAACGCGACTTGTTGTCGGAAAGATATGCGACGGATCACTGTAGATGGTGACGCGGCCTGTAACGTATGAGTGTAGAGCACGTAAAATGTTCACATATTACATGGGAATATCTCTCTGCGCAAGTAATTCGAACAGAATGCACTGATCGACTGAGTCGAACGCACTCTTGAAGTGGAGGAACATAACTATTGGCAGCCTGGCGTATGCGTGGCGCTGCTCTAGCGCCTGCTGCAAAGTGAATATACCATATCATACTATATACTACTTGCGGCTTTCGGGGACCCACAGGATGTCACTTTTGGCCAGGCTGATGTCGGGATTGCACTGAGTGACAGAGCTGAAACCGCTCTGCTTGACTGGATTCCAGTCAACAGTCGCCTATGTACAGTCAGACTACGATACATTAAGTATGTCCTATTAGTCGTCTCTGCCTACGCTCTGACAGATAGTAGCTCGGATACATGACCTTCTGCATTCCGCTAAAAAGTCTGATATTGTCATTCTTGCTGGAGATGTAAACGCACAAACAGGCCGCCTGCCACCAAGCGAGCACCATCATTCGGGTAATTTTGACCTCGGTAGCAGTCGATCAGACTATGGAGAGACTACTGACTCTTTGTACTTATCATCGCTTGATTCTTTTGAGCACGAGTTTTAACACTCGAAGAGACAGACTGCTACTTGGTGCCCGCCTTCTCAGATGCAAGAGTGGTCCCAGTTTGACCATATAGCAATATGTTACAGATGGCACGGAAGCGTAACAGACTCAGATCCCGCAATGATTCGTACCAGGGTTTGCACGTGTTTCGGAGGATCGTCCAGACGTATGTACTATCGGCAGAACGTCGAAAATCAACAGGACCCTGCGACACTATTCAAGTACAAGGTCTCTCTAACGACACTGCTTGTCACAGCTTCTGACGATGATCTGAATTTATAATGGGTGCGAATCGAAGATAATTTAGTTAATGCCAGCATGGATAGTTGTGGTTAGCCGTCACCCGCCGAAAAGCTGGATCACCGCTGTTCCCTTGTCGCTGATTGACAGGCGCCGCTCGGTCCCGCTTAAGGCTAGATGCAGTGATAAACGCCGATCCCGATCGAGAATTGCGCAGAGTTTGCAAAAGGATCGTGAAGCCTGGTTGTGTGAAGATGCTAGAGATATGGAACTGGTTAGTCTCTCTGGTAATACCAGAAAATTCTTCCATCTCATCCGAGTCACCGAAGGTTTCTGATCTAGTGTAAGCTAAACATTCTGCGAAGAGGATGGCCCATTGATCACGAATCATCAACGAGAGTTGGAACGATGGGCTAGAGTCTATCGTTCGGCTCGCAGTTTTGCTGACTGCCAATTTCATCAACTTCCTGTGGAACGCGCACTGGTGATGAGTGGTCTATCCCCCAGATTACCCCACTCAGTAGGAAATCTGGTAAGAACTCTGCCTACTGAAGAGTTATAAAGCCCGCAGTCCTGATGGCTTACCCGCTGCTCTATTTAATGATGGTGATTATTCATCGGTTCGAGAACTCACTGTTTTGTTCTCAGAAGTCTGGCCAAAAAAGAAGGTTCCATCGTATTGGGGTGAGTCCACAGTCGTCCTTATTTTTGTAAAAGCCTGTGTACAATGTGCTGCAACTACAGGGATATAAGTTTGGTTCCCATCGTCTGCAATCTTCGGGTGTGCATCCTACTTCGCAGGCTATCCCCAATGCGCGAATCGCTAGAACGGGAAGAACAGACCGGGTACGGCTCTGGTCGCGGCTGCATCGATCGAATTTTCACAACCCGCCAGATCCTCGAGCTCCGCCATGCGTATCAACAGCTAACGATTGTTGTGTTCCTGGATATCCATGCAGCCATAGATTGTCGACAGGACCGCAAAGTGGCATTGCCTGTAAAAAAAAATGGCGTCCCCGGGAAGTGTACTTCCGCAGTGCTTGCTATAAGCAGTTTGACCTCAGGTAGAGTTAGGGCGTATGGGAAGTGTTCGATTTCTTTTGCTGTCCCCAGTGAGGTTCAACAAGGACGCCCTATCTCTAATTTGCTCTTCAATTTTCACATTGATGATGTCGTCAAAAATGCTCTAGGAGACTTGTTAAATGTTGGCGTTTAGCTCATCCCATACAGTCGAGCAGTTGACTTGAACTATGCTGATAACAATAGCTTGCTAGATGATGGTCCACATGCCGTCAAACTTGCAGTTAACCGCTTGACAATTAAAGTGTCGAAATATGGCATGCACTATTCACCGTCCAAGTGTAAAGTACTTATCCAAAACTAGCAGAATCTATACCTCCTTCATTCTCGGTGGTGGAACACTGAGGGCAGTTGATAGGTTTGTCTACATGGGATATTGCAGCACTGCTGGGGGGGGGGCTATTGGATGAGATTTCAATGGGCATCTCAAGAGTTCTCCTCGCTTTCTCCACTGAGGCACTTGTGGCACCGTCACAAATGATGAGTTTAATGTGCAACTGTCCACGCTGTACTGTTAAATGGTTGCGAGACTTGGCCAGTTGGTACCGTTGAGCTGCACCAGTTGTCTGCGTTCGAGCACCGTTGCTTGCGGTCTATTGTCCGTGTGTGGTGGTTGCACCATGTAACAAACGTGGAAGTTAGACAGCGCCTCTCCTCGCATCATTTGCGGTGCCTTGGACACGCAATGCACATGCCCGCTCAGCGTCCTCGGCGCCGCGCAGGGCTGAAGGAGGCGACGCGGTGGACAGCGTACGACATGGATGGAGTCCCAGATGTCAAATCCGACAGCGCTCCTAGTTAGAAGAGCTTCAAGTAGATTCAGCTCAGTTTATCAAGCGAGATTCGCAGAATGAAGTGAGGTGGAAGTAGTCACCTTAACATAATTTGAATAAAGAGCAACAGTAATAACAGTTCAAAAGAATACTGAAAACTTAAATTTGCCTGACAAAATAGCTTGGGAATGGAAAGAAGGAAACGAATGCATTATTGTCACCGACTCGCTGATCGTGTCACGTCCGATGGAATAACTGAGCACTGATCTGATTGAACCCCGGGTCCTTCTTTAGGTAGGAAATAAATCCTGAACCTAGTCGAGCTTTTGATGAGCTCCTTCATACTATTTGGCCTTATTATATGACCGAGAACCTCCGGGGTGTCACCAAACTAGGCCTAGGTATTAGCACAACACATGCCGGAGTAGGCGTCCCTCTGGTATGAGTAGCACATGTCTGAACCAACAAAGATGATTCCAAGTTTAAGTTCATTGAAAGAAACACCAGAATCTTGTGTGATGCGGTGTAGGACGGAAATAGTACAACGAATTCATCCACTAACGAAAGTGGGAAGCCGGCGAGCGCATCACTGGTCCATCGGAAAGCGATAGAAGCCCGCAGCGACAATCAACCGAACCGGCCATGATGACACAACAGCAATACATGTTAGTGGTCTACTATCGCATAGAGGTGGATGGAAGGTTCTGTAGGGGATGTAGAAGGAAGGTGTTTATAATACTGCGAATCGAATCAATCGCTGTTGTGTAAAAGAGGGAGTGTGTGGGTAGTCGAAGAAGGTCCGTCGACAGCAGATGAAATGGCTAGCGTTAAGGAGAGCGAGATTCACGCACGTTGAAAGGTCACAATAACAGCACAAAGCGGAACTGGCGAGATTGTCCTCAAAAAGTTGGAAAGTGACTTGAATTTCACCACACCCCCCGGCGTGTTCCAAGAAATGTCGGAAAAGACAATGAAATCCGAGTTCTCAGGACCAAGTGAATGATGTTGGTCCTATGATGGAAAATGATACAGATTGTCAGCTCAAGAACAAAGTACAAAATATAAAAGGACACGGTGATGGTTTCGTGGTCGCCTTAAGTCGTCCCATGCAGTTTCAGAATTCGAGTCCAATCCGAAGACTGGAGACAAAGGTAAGCCCTAACATTGTGAGGAGAGACGGAGTGGGGATTTTCTGTGCCTAAGGAAAAATGTGATGCAAAATGCAGCGGTACATATCAATAAACACGGAGTAATCGAATCGGGACTCACAGTGTGGAAATTGTATGATCCATGACTAGAGGGCTGCCCTACAGGGAAGTGAAACGAGAGGAAAATTGTTTGTGTTTAAAGTATGCCATGATGAGAGGATGGTGTAACACAGTTAGTCAAGTGGAACGCTGCCCAGTACATCGGGAACACAAATCATGGTGAGAAATGGAAGTATTGAATTTGGACAGCGCCGCTTATCGAGTTTTTGGTGAGACTGGATAATGCGATATGCGTAGTTGCAGATGGAAGGTGGTGACAGTGACAATGCAACACTCGAGCGACGTGATCAAGGGTTGGCGTTGCTGAGTCTACACAGACAACAGTGCCGGCCCGTGGCCAAAGGATCACAAGCTTAGCTTGTAAGTCGGAGATCGTGGGTTCAGGCCTGCGTAGGGGACCGGGTGACTCTCACAGTATTCCTAGCCCAAGCGCGACTGTTGGAGGTTACGCGGTAGCGAAGCGTCGTTATTGCGCACCGGCGAAGCAATGATCACTGAGGTAAAAATACTGACCAACCAGCAGTACACATGAAGAAACTACATGGAAACAGGAGCTCCACCTACTGACCGAGGGTGAAAGGGTCCAACGAACGGTCTACGGTTAGCAGCCCCAGCCCACTTGTGTTGGTCACCAGGAAAGCCATCTGACCTTGCAACGGAGACCAAGGGGATTTGTGGACAATTGGGACGGGGGTGATCCAAGTGTTAACGGGATAAACGCGTCTGTCTGGTTTGTTCTCACATCCAAACAAACATTTGCCGGAGGTTAACACAATTGGGTTGGTTCGCATCTGAACGTGATAAAACCACCCGAGAGTGTCCGCAAATAACTGAGAGGTAAGCGGAAAAAGAGCGGTGAAAATGCGGCTGTGAGGAGTGGGCGATGATGGACAAATAGATTTCGAGTTAGGTACAAGCGGATGGTAGAAGCGCGGAAAAATTTACTAAGCAAGGAAAACAAAAAATTGTAAAATTAGAGTACATTGACAGAACAAAAAACGAAAGGCTAGCTACAATGTTAAGTGTATGGTACGAGATTCATGAGTCCCAATTGTTAAGTAGGCAGCAAAGATAATTGGAAGATCAAATTGAAATGCCAACTCCCAACTATGTAACTGCTAAAAGTAATGTTGAGATAAGAGAGGCAGTAATCGGTGAAGTGAAAAATGCCAGCCGAATATGTAAATAAGAAAGACACGAAAGCAAAGTAAACAACTGGACGACAACCGAATTGCACAAAAGGGTTTCTAAGCAAAGAAGTGATTAGGCTTATTAAGAAGCCCTAAAGGGAGCGGTCCGAAAAGCAATCGATTGCTAAAGCCCCACGGAAGCTGCTGATTGTCTGGTAGAGGAAGTCCGCAGGAAGCTAATAGGTGCTTAAAGAGCGCAACACTCCGTCACGATTTTAAACGGTTCTAAGATCCGGTTGTCAACCAAATGAAGGCCTATTTAATTATGAAGCCAAACCGGTATCCAGACAAGTGAGTGACCCTAGCTGGAATCAACAGACTCAACTGGTTGCTCAGGTATACACGTAGAAATATGTATACTCACACAGTGTTACAGTGTTATCAGTTAATTCGCATTGATTCATCTACCATAATTCCCGCACAGAACACAGTTGATAAAGTGGTGATTTGAACCGAGATAAACAAATCGGGATTTCGGCTAAATAACAAGCAAAAAGTGTTATGGATAAACGTGCGAGTGATTCAGGTATCCTATCAGCATGAAAAGATGGGTTCTAGGAATGAGCTAGGCAGTCAATGGGATACGAATGAAACGGACTCCATTAATAGAAGCGTAGTCGTTCGTCTAGACGGATCCGTTGATTGGCCGAAGTCCGTGTGCTGTATGGTGAGTTCAACATTACTCGTTTACCGGAGTTAAAGGGTGAAGCCAACTGAGTAGAAAACGTTGCTGTTTATAGAAGCGTATAATCAATATGCATCGAGGCGTTCCACTGTTCAAATACGCTGTGAATTTCGCCGAATTGCCTTTGCTGTACAACAATGTTATCCCTGAAGGACCGATATTTGAGATAGTGTTTTTAACTAGGAATTCAGCTGAGTAAGATATGATACGCAACACCCCTGTAAACAATGTGTGTGTTTATACTGCTTTAGCTAGTGGACCTATGGGGATCCAACCGTTCACAACCCCAACCTGTCTACAAATGAGGAACTTTATGGGGGAAAACCAATCGTCCTTTGCTGAGGACAAATAGTTTCAGTAAAGATCCACCAGGCATAAACAATCGAACAAATACTAGATGTGCAGAGAGACGAGACGGAAGTATGTGACGAAGCAAGCAGCTAGACTATTGCGAACAAACGGAGCAGATGACTGGACGTGCACACGTCTGCACGTCAACGCTAATTGGTTAATATGTGGCTGCGCTAGAGCGAGTTTGTTTGACTGAAGCAAAGGCAAAATCTCACGAATGCAGAAACGCCATTAGTTATGGAAGCGGTCTAGTTATATACATGGAGGATTCTATAGCCCAGATGATCTTCCTCAAGCTCTCTGCAAATTCGGAGGCTCTGCACTTGTTGATGCAGGAGATTGTCCCAACTGACTGGAGCCGCTCCGTTATTGTTCCCATCTTCAAACGCGGCTCGCGCTCGGAATGCGGCAAACATAGAGAAAGCAGTCTGATCTCTATCGCCTCCATAATTATTCACAGACTGACTGGCGCTCGTGAAAGCCAGATTCGTGAGCAGCAAACCGGATTTCATCGTGGTCGTGGCTGCATCGATCACATCTTCACCTTGCGTCAGTTGTTGGAGCACCGTCAAACATATTGGCGGCCCACCGTAGTCGTGTTCCTCGAAATCAAAGGTGCCTTTGATTCGGTTGATCGATGCGCCCTTTGGAATTGTTTACCCAGGAAAGGTGTGCCCAAAAAATATGTAAATATTATCCAAGCATCATATGCGCGTAGCTCGGGCAGAGTGAGGGCTTCCGGCAAGCTGTCGCCACCCTTCAATATCTCCAGCGGTATGAGACAAGGATGCCCGCTGTCACCTTTTCTCTTCAATTTCGCTGTTGACGAAGTCATGGAGATTGCATTTACAGGACACGACTTGGAAGGTTTGGAGCTACTCCCAGGAGAACGACTCCTTGACTTAGAGTATGCAGACGACATTGCCCTCATCTGTGACAGCTCCCAGACGTGCCAAGCCGCGCTAGACAGATTAGCACTGGCTGTCAGTCGTTTCGGGCTTTGCTTTGCACCATTGAAGTTCAAAGCGTTCCTCCAAGATTGGCAGGGATCGCCCCCTACGCTGACCCTTGGTGGGAATAAGCTAGAAGTCGTTCAAAAATTCAATTACCTGGGAAGCTGTATCAGCGCCCTTGGGATCGAAGACGAGATCACGAACCGTATAGCGAAAGCTCGAAGTATTTTTTGCTAACCTTCGTCACCTATGGCGGCGGCGCGACATTACACTCGCCCTGAAGGGTAGAGTGTACAATGCAGCAGTACGTTCGACGTTACTGTACGGTTGCGAAACCTGGCCCCCTAAGATAGGCGGACATGAAGAGGCTAGTTACGTTCGACCATCAGTGCCTTCACAGTTTGGCTCACATCTGGTGAGTAACGAGCGTGTCCGACGCCTTGTGTACGGCACAGAAAAAGGGAATGAACCGCTCAGCACCGTTATTTCACGCACCAGGCTCCGATGGCTGGGCCACGTGTTGCGCATGCCAGCCAACCGACTCCCGCGAAGTGCATTGTTTGCCCACCGGGGATGTGGGTGGAAGAAGAGGATAGGTGGCCAAGCGATGACTTGGTACAGAGGAATGAAGTCCCTCACTTCGGAGCTAGCCTCGGTTGGAGCGTCACGGCTCCTTGGTTGGGGTCCAAAAGACGGCGAACACGTTTGGCTGGATACACTTGCTGACATGGCAAGGAGCCGACCTCAGTGGCGTTCCTGCAGTGAGTTTCTCTGTCCCTCCCCATCCCTTTTAGCCTCCCCCTCCATCTACGATCTCATTTCGTAGGGTAAAACATAAGAATTTTTTTTGCCTAGTAGCTGGCTGGTAGATTACCGGAACGAGGCCTATCCGTTGCTGGTAGTTCAGCTGGCATGCAACTGTCGTATTTATTTTTCCTTTAAGTGTTGTATGTATGTATGTATTTCCCTTATGCATTGCGGTACGATAGCGGAGGCGTTTCACAACCTCTAGCTGACATGTATAATAATGATGATGATAGCCCAGTGATGCTGTTATTTTCGCTGAGACTCCTCTGTTGAAAAAACCGTTCGCCTCTGAAAAATCGAGCTCTGTGACACTACATGCTCGGGAAGACGTTGCATATGACTCTACGACGATACCTAGTATAGCAATCAAAAATGTCGTCTACTGAGTTCCTAGATTTGTGTGCACACAACTATAATCGGTGGATATTCTCATCAGGCGACCAACATGTGACTTATGCGCCATAATGAAATACCACTGTGTCAGAAGCGAGTAGAATGGTAGCAAGGGGAAACGTGAAAGCGGAAGAACTAACCACGGAGAACACTTAATGATTAAGAATAATGTAAACGCGTAAAGGCCACAGATAGAGGTGTCAGGGGACGAACCAGGGAAACAGTTGGAAACGAAGGCCGCATTACGTGAGGTAAACAAAGGAATCTGTGGCGCATCTGGGTGTCGTCCTACTTGATCTAAACTAGAACAAATTATGTATGTGTGTTCTCCAACAAACAACTCCTCGCATCTCGGGTTCTTACAAAAGAATCGAGGTGCTTCGTCACAAAAGAGAATGTAGGTTAGTATACTGTCGGGATCAACGGCAAAACTTTATAAGTATTCGCAAGAGTTTCAACGAGGTAGAATCGTACAAGAAAAGATGGAACATGAGCAACTGAGTGTCTTAGAACAAAATGAAATGATTGCAACTGATCTGTGTATCACACTTGGGGTAAGCGTAATGGTAGAACTGGGGAGAATAGGAAGATTGAGAGGGAAAATACACTTGACAAAACAGAAGATATCATTCGGTAATATCATCAAATCCTGATCACGAGGGTTTGATTATAGACATACATTTTTCCTCCGCCGTCGTTTAAATGCAAAAACTTTGATAAATTTTACGAATACCAGTGTGAACTTACGTTTTCCTAGCTAGTCTCAATATATAAAAGTACGGAACAGAAACATGCGCTTATGAACATTCGCAAAAAGTAGCGCTTACGGAATTACCGATGACTGAACAATTGTTATCAACTACAATGCCCGTTTCCTGATGGTATAAATCCAGGGTCAAAGAAGCCAACTGACTATTGAATACTTTAGGGACGAGTCAACACTTCCTAAACAGTAAGAAACAATAATGGCAGATCAGCGAGATGACGGACGAGAGCGCACTAATCACTATGAAAACCTCAAAATGGTACAGAAAAGAAATACGGAAACGACAGCGATTTCTGGGGTACTAACCTGAAGTCATCATCATCATCATCATCATACATGTTAGCTAGAGGTGGGGAACACCTCAGCTACTGTGCCGCAATACATATAAAAAGCGGAAAAAAACAATTCAACTGGGGCAAGCTGGCTGAGTTACCGGAAACGGATGGGCATCGTTCCGGTAAGCTACCAGCCGGCTACTATGCATCAAAAAAATTAACATGCAAAATTATATAAGGCTAACTAATGAGATCGTGGTTTGAGGGGGAGGCTAAAAGGGATGGCGAGGGACAAAGAAACTCACAGCACGAACGCCACTGAGATCGGTTACTAGCCATGCCAGCAAGTGTGTCCAGCCAAACGTGTTCATCGTCTTTCGGACCTCAACCAGGGAGCCGAGACGACCCAA